GGGCCCATTCAGAGGCACTGGGATATCTGATCCTCTGCCCACGACACTACCTGACACCTGAGCCCTGACCCCCAGGCCCTGGGTCTCTATGGGCACATGGTCCTACTGGAGACCTACACCAGCATGGGTACCTGGCAAGGAAATAATTGCAAGGGCAGCAGGCAGCAGGCAGGACAGCTGCCATCTAGACAGGCCCATTCATGCTAGCACAAGACTACCAAGACAGACCAGAACCCTAGGACAGAGCTGAAGGCTGGTGCATCAGGGAAAACCACAGGGCTCTTTTATCCAGTGCACGAGGCCCAGGACATTCTAGCCCCCACACTAAGAACTAGACCATGGTTTTTCAGATTGAGAATATAGAATCATTTCTTCTTCTAGGACTAAGTCTGATTTTACCTTGTCTCCTCAGCAACCCCGGCTGGGGGGGCCTTCATATTCCCAAGTCACAGGTGGGAAACATAAGGCATTAAGGCATACAGAGAGGAAACAACTTGTGCAAGGAATGAAAGATTATGAGAGACGACCAAAGAGACCAGAAGGGAGAGAAGAGCACCCATGCCATCCCCCTCCCGTCCTCTCCCTCCCTTCTTCCACTCTCTTCTTCTCCCGTGGCCCTGGATGCCCCTGGCCCAGTCTCAGTCCAGAAACAACTCCACAGGCCTTTTCCTCTTCAGCAGGTCTCTCCCACAGAGTACAAGCTTCCCTGTGCCCTGCTCAGGAACTCTTTCCAGGGCTATGGTGGCAAGGCCTCTGTAGTTTGAGGAAGTCCAGTTGCAGGATGCAAGGCTGTGGGGCAGGGTCTCCAGCCTATGACTCCTCCCAGTCCAAAGTCCCAGGGCAGCCCATCCTTACCTGGGTCTTATCTGCGCCCTATGGGCCTGGGGTCAGGGGTCACAGAGCTGGAGGACTCTGCAAGCTGGGGCAGGAGCCTGCAAACACTGTCCCAGCCTGAGTCTTGCTCCGAGGTTGCTCTGGGGGTCCCCTGGGCTTTTCTGTTTCTTGCCGTCTCCCTGGGTCACTCTCCTTCTTTCTGTTCAGGGCAGTTGTAGTCCAGGGCAGCTGTCCAGCCAGTAAGTACTGCCACCCTCCCCTCCCACTCCAAAGCCCTTCTCCCAGGAGGCGGAGCCCAAGGGGCCTCCAAGGTCTGGATATGGTGACATCAGCATGAAGGGCGGGCTGTGCTGAGGCTGAGACTAATGTCCAGAGGCCACCCAAGTTGCTGTGTGAAGCACTGGCTAGCCAGCAGGGATGCAAGGCATGGAGGACCCCGGAGGCACTGCTTGCTGGCCAGTGTGGGACTCGGGCCTGGGGTCACCCATCTGGGCCTCAGGGGACACTTGTTATGTGTGTCACTGCCTGCTATCTCTGCATGGTTGAGATGCCTCATCTGATCCCTCCCTGTCATAATTTTGCTCAGCTCCCAGTGGCCTCCCCCCAGCTCCTCTCCTCCCTTTAGATGGGCAGGCTTGACAACACCTGGGCCCTTAGGGCACATGACATCCGAAACACGACTCCCCAAGATGTGTCCCCATGAGGCTCTTCAACCCACCTCCACAGTTTGTTCTAGGGGTCTTGTGTGTGTTATTTTCTGATTACCCAGACATTTTGCAAAACCACTTGACCAGAAGCAACATCTTACAGCAGACAGAGTCATCCAATGTGAGACAAAATGTATGATTTAAAAGTTGGGGGAGGGGGTCAGTTAAGAATGAACAGAATACAAAATACTCCAAATAGGTGAGGAAGGGGTGCTGGAGGCCTCCCTCCTGAGACCTGGCCCTTTCTCCTGCCCTCTCTCGGCCAGCAGAGAAAGCTGCCTATGGGCTGGGGGGGGGGGGGGTAACTCTGTGGCAGTAGGGGTTGGGCCAGAGGAGCAATGGCCCAACAGCGCCATCTGCTGGGCACAGCCAAGTGCTACAAGACCACGGCTGAGGGAGCAACTAAGGAAAGCAACCTCTGCTGGTGAGCTTCCTCAGACCCCAGGGTGACACAGTGCAAGGTAGTGCAGAGACTGAGGCTGAGTGGCATCCATTGCAGCCCTTACCCATGGGGCTGACACTTGTGGGTCAGACAGGTAGCACGGGCCTACACAGAGCTGGAGAGACACAAGTTGGAGTCCCAGGGTCTCACTGGGGCAGAGGTGTATGGTGGGAGGACAGTGGGTTGGAGAGTGAGTGGTCTTGGAACTGCTATGCTAGCCAAACTGGGCTAAGGTCACCCAGTTTAAGATATCTAGGAATCCATTTGAGTTTTCCAAAAACAAAACGTCTGAGATCAGGGGGTCTATCAAAGATACTTGGATTTGGGGGGGGGGGCAGAAAACTAAGTTCCAGCATAGTGGTCACTGCCATAGCAATCCTGCCTCTTGAGGAAGCCTGTATCACTTCCCCGCCTCAGTCCACCCGCCTCTCCAGGGGCTCTGCTCTCTGTGCCATCTAGAAGGGACATGGATTTCCACACCTGAGCCTTTTTAGGACACCACATCCAAACCATTGCAGACCTGATCTTAGTTCATACCACCCTCACCCACCTCTCACCCTTCAAATTCCATCCACCATTGCATTGTATCCATATTGCTTTCAACAGTCCTAACCCAGCTTCTGCCACGCCCGTGAATTCCTAGCTCTACCGATCTGCACCTCCTGGCATCTCTGCTCCAGCCACCGTGTCTGTGGCCTGCCTGTAACTGCCTCCTCTCCCCTGAAACAGGACATGGGCCTGAGCTGATGGGCTGAGGCTTAGTTCCTAGGGGCTCCTGCACTACCCTGTCAAGAACACTACAGCGTCATGATCAGAGGACTTGTGCATCTCCCCAGTTGCTGGAAGGCTTTTCCAGAAGAGGGACTGTGCCTCTCCAAGAGCAGGGCTCAGCAGAGTCAGTCCCACATAGATGTGCAATAGGGAACCTGAATGGTTCCATGGAGCTCACCAGGCCACCAGCAAAGCCAGCCTCATCTGGGACTCCTAAGTCCTTCCTTGCTCATCCCTCTGATCTCACTGTCCCTTCCCTCCTCACCCCTCACCCCCCATGGGGGGGAGATAAAATAGACAGACACAGGCCTTTCTAGAGTGGCAGTTAATGTTTATTCTGAGACGATAACATGCCCTTGACCCCAGGGCACAGTGACCTGGAGGAGTGAAGGCCAGGTCCTGGTGGTCCATATAATGTAGTCTGCAGGGTTGACCCCCTGCAACTGGCACACTATGGGGCCTTCTGGGCGCACAGGGTGAATAAAGCCACTGTTCCCCCTGCTCCACACCATCCTCGCCTGTCTAGTCCTCAAGGTTTCCTGGGGACCAGAGGTCCCTGCACAGCCAGGAGCCAGCCTGGCCTAGCTTAAGAGGGAGGAAGCAAGGACAGGGCTGCTGGCCCAGTTCTGCTGGACGTGGGAGGCAGTGGCGAACTGCCGGGAGAAGCATATACAAGTTTGCTACTTGGTCCTGGTTTGCCCTGTGCCTCGGGGGATATGGCTGAGCTAAGACCCACATGTCGGGCCCTGAGACCGATGGCACAGCAGCCGCGGACTCTTCCATTTCCGACTGCACTTTGTTTTCAATAGCCATTGAGAAGTGATTGTGTGAACTGTGGAGTATACGATATAGAGACACACAGGAAGTGGTGTGTGTGACCTTGCTCTCAGTCTTGGAAGAGTCCCCACAAATCGGAGTCACCAGCCTCACGCTGCAGAGGGAGGAACTGAGGCACAGGAGGTTTAAGGGACTTGCTCCTGGTGGCATGCACAATCCCAGGCCCAGGCCTAGGTCTTTGGAGGGAAAGCCCCAATCATGCAGGAGGATTCCTATTGTGTTTATTTCAGTGTCTAGCCCTTCCCATGGTCCAGGACCCAGGCTAGGAGCGGAGCTACCACGGAGCAAGATGGCAGTCAGAATCCAGCACCTCCAGCCAGGAAGAGGACCCCACAGGAGGGGCTGGAGACAAAAAGTCACATCCCCAAAAGGAATTGCTGCTGTTGACCTAACTACTTTATCTACTAAGTCTGGTCTGGAAGCATAAGTAGGGAGGGCACAGAAGGGAGCCCAGGAGCCACAGCACCACTACTGAACAAGAATCCCTCAGAGATGCAGTCTGCAACCAGCCTGAGGATACCCAGGAACGAACATGCTCATCTCCATCTTGCTCTGAGACTTCTCTGAGAAGGTCCCACTTCACCCTTGCCCTTTCATGCTCAATGTCAAAAGGAAAGCAGAGGACCAACAGAATTAGTTTTAAAAAGAACAATGGGTAGGACAGACTTCACCTTACACTGAGATTTTTTTTTTTAATGCTAACACTACCAAATGTTGAGGACAGAGTGTAACATTGGTGGTCTGGGCAGCAAGAGCATGGTGGCATCCTTGGCTGTCTGGGAGATGCTGGTGGAGAGGCCTCTGGTCAGAAGAGGCAAGTCCCTGCCTATGACACCCAACAGATGACATAACCCTGAAGGCCTGGCATCACCCACCCTAGAATCCTGTCTTCTAAGAAAATCCCAGGGTCTTTCAATAGGCAGCATTATGTCCCCCTAGGGTCTCCTTCCAACACCACAAGCAGAGATTGGGAAGTAACACTTTCTCACCAGCGTGGCCACAGCTCTTTGGGAGATGGGAGTGAAGTCAGGGGGTGTCTGCCCCCGAGATGACTTGAGGATGAGGAGACCTGGGGCAGCTCTTTGCGCTAATTGGACAAATCTATGTTGAATAACTAAATGGATATGAGTGGGGCATTAGACAATGAGCAAATGTCTCCTGCATACTTCCCAGCAGATGCCCACTGAGGGGTCTTTCAAGATGGCTCAAGAAGTGAGGTGTAGTGGGACTGGAGCTGTAGCTCAGCTGATAGAATGCTTGCCTAGCATACACAAAGCCCTAGGTTCAATATCCAGCACCATACAAACTGGTGTGGTGGTGCATGCCTATAATCTCAACACGGTGAAAGTGGAGGCAGGAAGATAAGTCGATTAAGGTCACCAAAAACTATATAGCAAGGACATGGGGGGGGGGCTAGGAAACAAGGGGAGGGAAGGGGCTTGGGACATGGCAGTTTTTGTGTAAACAAGTGACATCTTGGCACTCCTCGGCAGGTGGCAGGGCCTGGGGGAAATGTTGCCAACAGACAGCCCCTTAGCAGCAGTGCCCACTGGCTAGAGAGCTACTTGAAATCTTAGGCAAGAAAACGTTCTCCAAACACTGAGGTTCAGAGAGGGGCGGGGCTCTCCTCAGGTCACACAGTGGGTCAGTGAAGAGTGGGGAAAGGGCCCCAGAATCTGGTTCCCGGGCTGGTCCCAGGCCAGGTGGGGACATGCAAGTAGTGGTGAGAGCTAGCAGGGCCAGGCAGGTGGCCGGTGTCACACAGCCCTGAGAGAGGCACTGCTAAGGATGCGCACGGCTATGGTCCCTGGCAAGTCTCTGGGCTGCCGACTGCGGTCCTGGAGGTGGAGGGTGTGGAGGGCCTGCAGGTCATCCGGGTTAGTCTTTAGGCACACCTGGCCCAGGAATTCATCCTTCAGGAGGCGGCGATTCCAAATCTGAGAGGAGACAGTGGGTGGGGGAGGGGTGTGTCCAAGACCAGGGATCTAGCCTATGGCAGGTGGGGAGTGAGGGCAGGGCCCAGAAGCCTCTTCCATCAATACAAACCCAATCAGGGAGAAGCTGGTGTCCTGGACTGAGGGATGTCCTCTTCAAGAGCCGAGGGCTCCTGTCAAAGTCCAACCTCTCACTACTAGTAAACTTGTACTTGTACTTGACCTAGTTCTGCCCCCACAGCCCCTTTTTCTTTTGTTTGTTTGAAACAAGGTTTCACTGTGTAGTTCTTGCTAGCCTGGAACTTGCTCTGCAGATCAGGCCAGCCCCAAACTCATAGAGTTCTATCCATGTCTGATTCCTGAGTGCTGAGATTAAACATGTGTGCCACCACACTCAACACCTCATTTTTAATATTCAGGTTGAATCACCTGCCCCTAAGGGTCCTTCCAGCCTCAATAACTACCAGTCTGTGATTTGACCCAGTGGGGCCCAGTGTTAAGAACACTTGGAAAATCTGGTAACTCCCCTGGGGTGCTACACATTTGTTTACAGATGGTTTCTCACCCAGAGAGAGGTTTCTCTGGGCCTGGGGGACAAAGGGCTTCCTGGTAACGAGCTCAGCCAAGGTGGCCTGAGAGAAAGGCGCTGTGCCCAAGGACACTGACATTAGGATTCCCTCCTCATGGCTGTTAGGAAACAGCCACAAGCTACACGTGATCTCAGTGTCACTTTCCCAAGTAGGTCCACTGGTGGGAGCTATGAGGAATAGTGATCATGATTTGGACCCCAGACTCCAGCTGGAAGACCAACCTTGCTGCCTCTCAGATCCAGATTTAATGGGGGGGGGTGACTAAAGCTAACACCAGTGGGTCCTTGTGGAAGGCTCTTCTTCCCTGGACCCCACCCCTTGGAGTGGGAGGCCATGGGAGGGGACAACAGGATAGGCTTGTGAGAGGGTCTCACCTGCACGGTGATGGGCTGAGCCAGCTTCTTTTGATAGAAGATGCCTTTCACATTGTACTCTGGTGTCGAGGTCCCTTTCTGCACAGTTGAGCGAACCTTTTCGCCCTCACACTTGATGATCACATATGAGTTTGCCCCTGGAGAAAGGATGGGGGTGCTGGGGTGAGGATGGGGCTGGTGCAAAGCCTAATGGGACAGGTGTCTGGGAGGGGACATGCCAACCTGGGTCTTAGTCACAGGGGAGACAAGAGCCTGATCAACCTTCCAGACTGGAGTCTTCTACCTTCTAGGGCCAGGCAGAGGAAGGGGTGCTGGTGGCCTCTGGCCTGTAGTCCTTGCCCATTTTTCCTTGTACACAGGTTTCACACCTCAGCACCTTGGCTAGAGAAAGGCCTGCTCCCCAGGAAACCTTCCTGAACCCCCAGTGTCTACCTGATGTCCCCACAAGATGGAGGCTCCTAGAAGCTCACATCACCCCCTGGATGGCCGGGCCTGCTGAGTGAGTTCTGTAGGCGCTGCGGTCTGTGTTGAAGGAGACAGGGCCTGAGGTAATCTCTGGATGAGCTCACCTGTTGCGGAGCCCTTGAGGCCAGCAGCCTGTAGGACATGGACCTGGGTCACTTGCTGGGGGTAGCCACACAGACAGCTCCAACAGGTATGAGGGGGCTCATCCAGGCGCAGCTCCCTGACACAGGGCAGGGTAGGGGGACAGACAGGTGGGGGAAGATGTGAAGACAGGTTCAAAGTAAGGAGCACTATTTACTGCAGACATTCATGTAATTCTTAGCCAAACCTCATAGCACACCCAACCATCCACAGCCACAGGCTTCCAGCCTCTCTGTGCCCCAACCCAGGGGTCCTATCCTCCTGGAGGGACCACAGTGCACTTAGCATTTCCTGCATACCACATTCTCTGCTGGGCATTATAGATATTATTTCTCATCCTCAAAATGGTTTTAGTAGCCTACTGCCCCCCCAAGCCAGTCTCTATGGGGCAGGTGACAGTGGTAACAAGACCCACCCTAAAATCCAGGCGGGTGGGTGGCTCAGCCCATACTATTACAGACAGCATGGTTGGACCCTCTTATCTACAAAGTGGAGTGGGGTAGGCCTTCCATTTGGGTGTGGGAAGATAATAAAATAAGTGAAAGCCACTTTATAAAGGGAATCACTGCTCCTAGTCAGGACCAAGAGAAGCTGGGCAGGCAAGCAGGGGAGGAGAGAGGCAAGGGATGCCCATCTCTAAGGATGTCAGTGCCTAAGCACCGTGCCTTGAGCAGACACAGACAGGCTAGGGCTGTGGATTCCACTAGGCCCGGCATGGACTGTACTATCCCCAGCCCCAGCCCCACACACCGGCAGTTGGAGGGTACATCTGTGAAGACTCGGAGCAGGAACTCGCCAGTGTGGCCTGGCTCAAAGGTGGTAGGGATGATGACATAGCGGCCCTCTGGCTGCTCTGTCCGCAAGAAAACGCTACGCGAGTTGATATAGATGGAGCTGGCAGCCTTATGCTGTAGGCTGTGCATTCGGTACTGGCGGTTCTCTTCCACCTGTGTGAAGACAGGAGATGAGCCACACAGCCCAGCATCATGGAAGGGTCTGTTGGATTGGGTGTCCATGGCCTACTGGAGTTGGACCTTCTCTTCACAGTGATGATAATCTAGTGATGATGTCATTAGACATGCTTTAGACTGCTCAATTCGCTGGTCTCAAGAAAAATTATTTACAAGTTGGGGTGGGTGATAATTTAAAAGTGGGGGGGTAATCCCAATGACCCTACACATTCTTTTTTTTAATTTAACTTTATTTTCATATGTGTATATATGATGGGGGATATACATGCTACAACACACATGCATTGGTCAGAGGGCAACTTTGTGGGGTTCTATTCTTCCACCTTTACATTCAGGGATCAAACTCATATCATCAGGCATTGGTCTATGGGTCTCACCTTATAGATGTCAAAGCCAATAGCCAGGTTCTCGCCTTTGCCTTCTCTGCGAGTTGAACGCTTGGGCCGCTGCTGAATGCAGATCAGTACTTCATCTTCTGGCTTCTTGACTTCAAATATGTACTGCAGGTATGGCCATGAAAAGAGAGCCATGGCAAGACCCAGTCAGCTTCCTGGGCTCCCAAAAGCCTGGACTCCAGGGATAAGCCTCAGCCATGTTGGCAGCACGAGCTTGGGCCACCCCCCCCCCATTACCACCCCCATCAGCTCTCCAAGTCTGTGACTCCTCTGGGAGATGAGCCTATTGACTCATACAGTGGCCACCCTGCCTGAAGACTGGGAGAGCTCAATGAGCTGGTAAGTGCTCACTCAGGGCCTGACACACAGTTGGTGCTCAATAAGGATGCATTGAGTCTAAGGACTAAGCACATGGACTAAGGCTGAGGAAGCTGCTGGGGAGAGTTCAGGGGGTGGTGCACAGTCTAGCCACATTTCCTGGGAATAGCCAAATGACCTTACTGTGAAAACAAGGGACCTAACTTTGGCCTCTAACTGTACCTGAGACTCTGGACAAATACTTCTAAGTTCCCGAGAGCCAGTGTTCTCGTTGTGACCATGTACAGGGCAGACAATGATACTGGGACATTCCTGAACCCTAACCCCTAACTCTAAACCCTAATCCTGAGCTGGAGTAATGGTCCAGCTGTTAAGAGCATTGCCTGCTCTTTCCAGAGGTCCTGAGTTCAATTCCCAACAACCACATGGAAGCTCACAACTACCTGTAATGAGATCTGGTGCCCTCTTCTGGCCTACAGGGGTACATGCAGATAGAACACTGTACATAATAAATAAATGAATCTAAAAAAAAAAAGCAACAAATAAACTGGGACATCATGACTCCAGAAGTGTCCACCAGGCCCTGTCACTGCACAAATAGTCATAATGAGGCTCAAAGACAGTCAGGGATACTCCTGAGTGATGCAAAGGCCCCTGGCAGGACAGTGATGAGGTCTCACTGCAGGGTGTGGCAGGGTGTGGTCCTTGCATATGCCCACCTGTGGGTTCTGGAAGAAAGTGTCCTTGTTGTTAATGCAGCCTCCACTGCGGTTCTGCTGTGGGTTCTCATGTCTCGTCCAGGCGCCCCGCAGCTGGGCCTCCTCCCATGTCTTATGGATGCTCAGGTAGGATGTGTTAATCAGACGGCACTTAATGATGTCGGTAAAGTACTGACACACGTCCTCGAAGGTCATCCTGTGTGCAGGAAGGCACTGAGCTGGGTGAACCCCATGATGCCCTTAACCATAGCTCCACAGAAGCAAGCTGTATACAATACCACCAAGACCCCAATCTCTCTTGGGCCTCAATTTCCCCATTTGTAAAATGGGGATGAACCTACCAGCAGTTGCCTGTCTCACAGGGCTGGTGGGGGAGTGAGCAAAATGAAATCGTGCAGCACTGTTTCCAACACACAGAGCAGCTGGCGTGCTGGCTGTGACAGCTGTTCAGTGTTAATGACCAGTGTGCACATTGTAAGATTGTTCTGCAATGCATGGCATGCACAAGGAGGTCAGAGGACAACCTATCGGAGGTGGGTCTCTTCTTCTACCATGTGGGTCCCAGGAACTGAAGTGAGGTCCTCAGGACTGACAGAAAGTGCCTTCTTATCGGTCCCGCTGTGTACATCATCTATAGTCTGTTGATACCCATTATCTTCCATAGCAGCTGTAAAGCCTGAATCAACTGGTGTAGGCACCCCTCTCCCCATGGTAAGCATGAGACAGTGACCAGGCCGTAGCCAGGCACACCCTAAAGAGCATGGGCAGGGCCAGGAGAAGTGCATGGTATGAATATGCATCAGAAGGGCCTTTAAGCAGCCATCTCCATGGAGGAGTAATGTTATTGTTTTAACTCAACTGACTCCTAAATCAGACAGCAATGCAGATTGGAGGGCTTGGCTGGCCTCCCACACACCTGCAGAAGGGGGCTTCATTAAGATACTAGTATCACTGTCATCTGATCCTGTTTGGCCTGGGGTCTGCATGGCATCTACCTCACACTGAGTACCTTGCGCCTTCCCCTCCCATAGAAAGCTGACTCTCTTATCAAGTGTGCTATGAAGAACAGCACTGCACCGGAACAGAGTCCAGACAGAAAGATGATGGAATGGATTCAAGGAGGGTTAGGGCTTTAAGAAAATAAATGGATTCAAGGGATGCACGTAGGGGAATGTGTACAAAGGAAGGAATGGATACAGGAGAATGGAACAGGTATGGGGGATAGATACAGGGGAATGAAGAGGTACAGGGGGCTGGATGAGGGGATGGATATAGGAAATGACTGGATTTATGAATAAATAGGAACAGATAAAGGAATATATACAGAAGAATGAATGTATGCAGGGGGATGAGTAGGTGCAGGAGGTGCATACAACAGGGTGGATGGAGAGAATGGATGTGAGGAATAGGTACAGAGTGATGGATTCAGAGGAATATGGGTTCACCAAATGGATGTAGGGATGTGAGAGGTACAGGGAAGGACCGACCACAGGGGATGGGTACAGAGGAATGGATGCAGGGGAAAGATGTAGGAAACAGATACAGATGACTGAATATAGGGGGATGGACCAGGGATGGACGCAGGGTGAACACTGGGAAACAAGTGCTGGGAATAGATACAGAAGGTTGGATGGGGGAGATGGATGCCCTGCGGTGACTGTCTGCTGGCTGTGTTCTGCTTGCTGGGACTAGCCTGGGAGTCAGAACAGTTCCAGTGTCCCTCAGGTGTGCAGATGGACACGGGGTAAGAGGACCCATCACTGCACAGAGGAGGAAACAGGTGGGAGGGGCAGTGATTTTTCCAAGGCTGCACAGCAAACTGGTGATGACTATGGAGCCTTGGCTCCCGGCTCCTGGTCACATGCTTCCTGCCAGGCCCCAGGAAGTTCCGCCTCAGCCCAAACTCAGAATAAGAGAGCGCTCACCAAAACTCGCCATCGTCCTGCACAGTCACGCCCATCTTCTCCCGCTCACTCTTGCTCACTTTCTTCCACTCCTTTGAGCTGGGATGTGAGTATCAGACGGAAACAGCATAAGAGGAATGGCCTGCCAGGACCACCTCCCCAAGAGACAGCGCTGGGCAAAGCAGTGTGGTTGTCACACCCAACCAACCCAGCTCCAAGAAGACTCCATTCCCTCCCACTGGAGACTGGTCTGTCCTTGTGCCAGGGTTGGCAAGTCAGGGAGCAGAGCGCCATTCAGAGAGCTAGTGGCCTCCCTCCTCACAGGTCAAGGTCAGTTCACCCTCCTCCAGGCCACTGTCCTTGATGACCCCAACCCCAGACGCCACTCCCCCAAACCCTGCAAGGCCCAATCCAGAGTTTCGGTCTTTGTCCTCGCCTCTGTGCCTGTACCCACTCACGTGTCGCTCCAGGGCCCGTTCCACTCCCGCTCGCCCCACGGGTTCCTCAGGCGGATCATGTCCAGCTTCTCTGACTTGAAGAAGGCCAGCAAGCCGCGGCCCAGGCGCACCTTGCGCACATCAGTGACAGCATATGCATGGCCCTTCACCAGGCCACATGCCAGGCGGGCCTCCATGTCAGCTGCTGTCACAGCCTGCAAGAGGACAAAGGTGCTCAGACAGGAGGGAAATGCTGGAATCCAAACTAAGGCACTGGAGCTAGACTAAGGAGCCACATCGCCCCCTTCAGATAGGGATGGTAATTGCGTCACACAGAAAGAGAACTTTGCTAAGAAGGGGTCAGAACCCCAGGGGACCAACCACCTGCAGATGCCATCCCAGAGTGTGCTGGTGCCAACTTGCCCCCCTGAAGCTGATTGCTATATAGTTACAATTTTTCAAGGCTCAATGCATAGGCCCAAGTAGCCTAGAATTCTCTTTTTAGACCAGGCTGAATTTGAACTTGGGGCAATCCTCCTGTGTATGTCTCACAAGTCCCAAGTACTGCGATTATGGATGTACAGCACCATGCCTGGGGGTAATACTCAGGAATTTTAAGAGCTGTTTGTGAGATCATGGACAATAGGAAACCAGGCACAGGTTTCAAACCCTTCCTCCACCTGAACCCAGCTATCTCCCACCAGTGACTGCCCGCCCAGAGGGACCTCTCAAAGGCCAGCTTTAGGCTACCAGCCCTAGGGGCCCCCTGCCCTCTTCCAGCTTCCCTTTAGCTTTTGACACCATACCATATGTCTTGGCACTGTGCCTCAATGACAGGGATACCAGCACCCAAAGGATTCTGAGGGGGGTCTGGAAGGTGCTAGGGGCATTGCAAGGTGCAGGGCGGGTTAAGGCTAGATTTGCATTGCTGCTCAGCACGGGGGATGGGGAACTGTGCTCTCCAACTGCTATGTCCCCCATAGGGTCAAGGGTCAGTGTGATGAGCTAGCCTGGGCCAGACTCAGCCGCACTCCCTCCCACCCCAACTCTGCCCTGCACTCTACCTTGATGGAGGCACTGATGAGGCCACCTCTGCTGTGCACCTTCAGCACCCGTTCAAAGAGCTGATTCCTCTTGGCCTCATCGTTGGCGAAGTCCCCCTCGGTCAGGTCGATGGGTTCGGAAACACCACCTGTGAAATCTACTAGTGCGTCTGCCGTGTTGCCTCCATCCAGGGCCTGGTAACAGCCTGCCAGCCTGGGGAACAAAGGCAGGGAATTCCCAGTTCAGGCTCCCAGGCACGTCTAAATCTTTGGCCTCATACAGGAGCTCTCTGAAGCTTAGAAACCAAGCCAAGTGCTACGGTCTCACAGCAAGCCACAGCACAGCCAACAATGGAGCCAACAACTCCCAGGCACATTCTGTCCAACCGAACGCCACCAGTGTAGGACACAGATTCCCAACAATTCTGCATAAATAATACAATTCATAATGATAACAATGTACAACTCCAAGGAACTGGCTTTAAAAAGAAATGCTGTATCTATGCTCTGGAACATTCTAGAAAGTATTGGAAAAGAACCTTTGGGGTAGGGGAAAACGCTAGTGTTTGTTTGTTATGTTTGAAAAAGCAGTACAGCTAGATTCCAGTTATGTTTTGAGGGGTAAGTAATAATTCCTTAGAATAGCTTCTGGCCTGGAGAGATGAACTGTATGTGGAATTGGGAGCTCTGTATCGGTGTCCTTTGAGGGAACTTTAAAAAGCGATCGAAGCATCTGGTATGTGTGACACAGTGAATATGAACATGAGCAGCAGAAAGACACACAGCACGGAAACCCTCAGTATTATACACTGCAAAGGCAAACCCACAAATCAGTGCCACGCTGTATCAAAGATGTTAAAAGAAGCTGGCCTATAACCTCAGCACAGGGACTGGGAGCTCAAGGCCAGCTTCTGATACGGAGAGTTTGAGGAGAGCCTGCACGAGAGCCTGTCTCACTACAACAAAAATGATACTGAAAGAACTGTCCTTGATAGAGGAAAGGGGTGGGGGTGGGATAAAAGCGGTAGCTGGAGGTACAGATGCTAACCGTAGTGATGTCTAAAGCAAGAAGAGATGTGACCTTCCCCGTTTTCTATACTTTTTGGATTTGCTCTAAAAGGTACATGCTCGTTCACAACTTAAAAAAGCAAGTAAGAACTGGGGAGGCGGTTCAGTGGTTAAAGCGATTGTAAGGAAAGTGTGAGGGCTAGAGTTCAAATCCCCAGAAACCATGTAAATGCAAGTGGATATGGGGGCCCACCTGTGATTCTAGCCATGGCAGACAGAGATGGGATCCTGAGAACAAGATGGCTAGCAAGACTAAGCCACATCAGTGAGCTCTGGGTTTGACTGAGAGACTCGGCCTTAGTGAGTAAAGTGTAAGAGCGAGCCAGGATGTTTCCAGCACTGACCTTAGGACTCCACAGGCACATGCACATACATACACATGCATGCACACATACCCATGCATGAGTGTACAAGTATGTCACCACATATGAAAAAAATGTGCCTACGTACAACACACACACACACACACACACACACACACACACACACACACACACACACACACGGGGGGGAATAAAAATTAAAAATAAACAAAAAAATTAAAAGCAAGCATGAAATAGTGCATAGTACAGCCACTATGGAGAGTCCCTTAAAAAGTCCCATCTTGAACCGTCACACGACACCGAAGTTTCACTGCTAGGAAACACTGGGAAAGCAGAGATGCAGACATCTGAATGGCCATGATGGCAGTGGCACTATTCACAGCAGCGGAGAGGAGGGCGCTGCCCAGCTGTCCATCTGCAATCAGAAACTGTGTGACTGAGAGCGCCTGTGGAATAGTGTTCAGCCATGAACACAGCCAGACCTTGCAAATAGCATGCTGAGTAAAAGAGGCCGGACCCAGAGGAACAGATAGCGTAGGATTCCCGGAATATGAGGTGCCCAGGGTAGGTAGATTCATAGGTGAGAAGAGCAGGAGTTCACCAGGCTACAGGGACAGAAAAGGGGAGTTACTGATTAACGGGGAAGTATCCCTGCTGGAGGGGGGTGTGAAAAGGTTTTGGATATAGGCAATTGTGACCACACTGTGGGCTGTAGTTACTGGACAATGAATTGGTGATTGGTGGCTTAGTGAGAAGTGCTGTGTGTGTGTGTGTGTGTGTGTGTGTGTGTGTGTGTGTGTGTGATATATATATATATATATATATATATATATAAAATCAATAAAACTTTATTTAAAAAAAAAAACAAACAAACCAAGAGCTGGCACTGTAGCTCAGTGGTGGAGTGCTTGCCTAGCCAGTATGAGACCCTCCACCGCAGCTCCACCAATGGCAGCGGAAACACACTGGCCACCAAGGGACTGGCTCTGCTTTCTTAAGGTTAAATTCTCAGGTATTTTTCTAGTTTGTTTTTCCTTTTCTTTCCTCTCTTACATGTAGGCTCTTGAACTCAATGTCTTGTGATTCCTCCCACACTCTCTGCCACCTCCCACCCCATCACACATCCTCCAAAAGCCTAGGAAGAGGCTTCTTCCGCACTGGCTGGAACCAGCTGGCATTCCTGCCCCCAAATGTCCCACTCCTCAGCACAGCTTTTCTGGTTCTCATTCTGGTCCAGGTCCTACAAGAGGAAGACAGGCATCTGGCCCATGGTCCACCATCCCGACCGGATATCAGGTGCCAAATCCCAGGAAAGGTCTCCAGAGGGATTTGGCAGTGTGCACTTGAGGGTAAGATCTACTGCCATAAACATGAGTGTCAGCCCTGCTCCAAATGCTGCAGGATGCCTGCCTGGGCCCCATCTTCTCCAAGTTCTTCCCCTCATAGTTCAGGTTTCCACTCTACCCATAACAGACCTAGCAGGTAAGCCCAGAGACCTAGGCTCTGACCATGCTGTAGACACCAGTCCCTCTCCTCTCTATGACAGGAGCCTTTCCTAAGGGCCCATGGAGCCCAGTAACAGCTCACATTGGCCTAGCAACTCAGTCTGGTCATCCCACCTGGTGATCCCACCCAGACAGCTCCACCTGGTCAACCCACCTGGCCACCCCGCCTGGCCACACCTACTTGGCATAGGCCTTCTCCACCAGGGCACACCAGAACTCATTTCTGGAGTTGGAGTGGCAGTAAATAAGCTGGTTGTTGACTGTGGGCAGCCGGTCATCGATGACCACATCCACCCACTCCCCGAAGCGCCAGAATTGGAAATGGAAGATGCCAGCATAGGCATCAGGGTTCTCAGGGTCCCATTCCTGCTCCTTCCAGTCTGGGATGACCTAGGTAGGGAAAATGGAGACAAGATGAGGGCATTGAGAAGCATCTGGATCCTGAGGAAAAGGGGGCACGTATCCCCCAAAGAATCAGGAGTATTGTGTTCCATCCCATCACTGCATGGACACCATGGGACTTGTGAGCACTTGGGATTTTGATTCCATGTCTGTCAGAGCCAGAGACTGGGGCCTCTTCTAGCCACAGTGTTGCACGATCCCACAGGCTTCCCTTCCTCCATCCCTCTTCACATCTGCTCCATCCCCAGCCATCCAGGCCAGCCCCACATGGAAACCAGCAGCCAGGCCAGACTCCTCACTGTCCCCTCTCCACCTAAGTAGGTCCTCCCGGCTCCTGCCTTCCCACTAGCACCACCTTGACCCTCATCACCATCTCTGGCTTCCAGACACTGTAACAGCACTGACACCCACAGTCACCCTGGCCCCACTCAGCAGCAAACTGACAAAATGATGTCACTGCCCTAAGGTGCCTCCCACCTCACTTCTTTACCTGCCTATGGTCCAGTCCAGCCCCCTGCCCTCATTCCTCACATCCTTCCTTCAGTGCAGTGGCCACCTTGTTGTCTAGGAAGCCCTCCTTAACTCTAAACCCCCACCCCTCAGTCTCTGGGCCAAGCACATGTCTAAAACCCATGCTTTCAATGGGTTAATATATCAAGTGCCCATGCTGTGCTTCATTCAAGGTCTGATGCTGTGAAGGTTCATCTCCCATGGACAGAGTTCCTTGTCTGCCTTACATCCACCTGGCCCAGGCGCATGTGTTCTACACATAAGTTGACTGAACGAATAAACTCGCAGACACCCATTCAGAGTGTCATTCTAGTATTTGTGGGAGCATCTTACGAATGCCTGGCACAAATAGGTCAATGTAATTTCCACAGTGGCTCCATGAAGAGATTGCTATTACCTATCTCAGCTTGACAGGTGAGAAAATTAATGCTCAGAGAAGGCAAGTCATTCACCCAGAGTTGCAGAGTTTGGAAAATAACAACAATAAAAGCACATGGTCCATGGAGGCAGGTAGATCCGGCTTTGAGGCTAAGATTCAATCCCAGGCCTGTGTTTGCCGACGAGTTATTTAGCAATATGAACCACCGTGTGGGCCCTGGATTGTGTCAGACCCTGAGGACCAACAAGACCAGACATAGTGCATTCCCTCAAGAAGCCTTGAGTCTGGTAGGAGAGGAAGGCACAAAAGCACAAAAGCACCCATGGGTTGGTGGGGTAGGAGGATAGGGAGTACCCTGGAGCTGCCACAGCTCTGGGAAGATGTCCTAGAAGCTGGCATAATTGTCTTCCAAGGACCTGAGGACAAATGGAGGTCATCTGAACAGCAGGAGGCATGCAGGGAAGGGAGACACTTCAGCCCTCCATGTCAGGGTGACCAGCTCATCATATCTGCTACATATGAACACAGCACAGCTGAGCCCCTCCTGGAACACAGGCAGTTCCTTCTAGAAGAAAGTCACCCTGACTCAGACAGCAGAGCCCAGGCACACAGGCTGGGTTGGCACACCGCTGCTGTTTAACTGAGAGGCTTTGCTGGTCGGAGCCTCCGCCCTCACACTCATTAGGGATGAGTTGTTTACATGACTTACACTACATGACTTACACTATCAACGGAGATACAAGCAAAGGAGAGTAGTCTCTAGTGAGATGAAGATGTCAACTCTGGGGAGAGGTGCTACTACCCCTCCTCTGGAAGGAGCCCCGTGAAGTGCCAGGCACAGGGCAGCTGTTTACTGTGGCGCCCCCACCTCATAGCGATGCAGGACGGTGCCCTGGGAAGTTGCTGGTGGAGGCTGCCATAAGCAAGGTTCTAACATAGGTTTAACAACTTTGGCCCAGGCCTGTAAGCAGGCATGGTCCAGTATCGCCAGCTGCTTCCTTTCCTCTCCTTACCTCTGCCTACACCCAACTCTGTGACCTTTTGAAATAAAAGCTCCCAAGCTGACCTCTACCCCAACCCCTTGCACTGCCTCCCTAGCTTTCTTTGAAGGCAGAACACCGGGTAAAAATGGGACCTACACAAGGTGGGGTCATCCCACTGCACAGATGGGAAAGCTGAGGACCAGAGAAACTACCCAAGGATACCGAATCATACCCAATGGCAGAAAGCCACGCCCAAGGCCCCTCCCCTAAGACTCTGCACTGGGAGCTCTGGACTGTGAGGGAAGGGAGGAAAAGGAGCCCTCAAAGGGCATGGGGAGGTATGCTGGGACCTGGGAGGATCATTAGTCAAGCGCAGGGCTTGGCCCTGAGCCTAGTGTGGCCCAAGAAGCAGCTAATGAGGCTCCAGGGCCAGAAATCCAGAGTCAGGATCCCTGGAGGCCTCAGTTTCCCCTCCTGCATCATAGCCACTAGAACTGGCATGGGGTGGGTTCCACAGTGGCTGCTCTGATGCCTGCTGGGCAGTGAGGGCGGGAGGAGGTCATCCAAGCACATCTACCCACATGCCACATCCGGCTATGTCACAAGTCAAGGAAGTCCCCAGCCTCCCTATCTAGGCCAAAAGCTTCCACAAACAGCCCCACCTGAGTGAGATTTAGGAAGGGAATGGCGATGTACTGAACACAGTGAACATGTTCAAGTTCATGAGGTCATAGATAAATAACCGTCACTACCAGAGACCCACAACCCAGCGCTAGGATTTTATGCCCACATCCATTAATCTATCAATGGCTTCAAAGTAAAAGTGGGATTGTTTCCAGATGGAGACCCTCTTCCCTTGCTGTTTGGTCGCCCTCTGGTCAGCTATGAAGAGAAAGGCAGGGTAGTGTTTCATTCTTTCTCTTACATTTGTAAGAGTTAATGTGTATGGGTATGTTGCCTGTATGAATGCTTGTGTACTTCTTGTATGCCCAGTGACTGCAGACGTCAGGAGGTACAGACAGCGGTGAGCCACCACGTGGGTGCTGGGAATTGAATTCAGGCTCTCTGGAAGAGCAACTAGCGCTCTTAACTGCTGAGCCGTCTCTCCAGCCCTATAACTACACATCTTTTAAACAATTCCTTCTATGGAACCATATCCATCAACATCTGCGGATGAACTGATGTGGGGAGGTAAGAGGAGTACAGATGCAGTAAGACAGGGTGGCTTTGTCACCGGGGACACCGCAGCATGAGCTGGCAGTGGCAACCTGCTGATCTTCTCACTTCATGCCCCGACATTTCTTCCTTGTAGAACCTACAGAAATCTACTATGATTGCACAGCACCTCATGATGCCTCGTGGCATGTCCTGTGTGCCTGGCTCTACCTGCACTCCCCATCCTTTATCCCTGAGAGCTAACCCTTGGCAGCTGGGCAGCCCCTCGTGGCTCCCCAGCACTAGTCTCTTTCCTCACCCACTTGGAGGAATTTCCTTAATGGGGCCACAGCCAAATGTGGTTCCTGCTCAGATCCCTAGCACCCAATACAGAGCCTGGCTCAGCACTGACGCTGGCTGGAAAATGTGAATGCTGGTCAGAGTGAGGCCCCTGAGCTCCCTGGTCCCACCTCCAGGGCTGTTACAGTAACAGATGGCCATGAGGGCCTTCACACAATGTAGGGGGCTGTGGTATCTGCAGACATATCAGTCTGAGAACCTAGGGGCAGGGAGGCAGACAGCCTCTGAGAAATCTCCCTCCCAGAGTCATCAAGAACCTCCAACACTACCTGCAGTGGTGTGTGTGTGTGGTGTGTGTGTGTGTGTGTGTGTGTGTGGTGTGTGTGTGTGTGTGTGTGGTGTGTGTGTGTGGTGTGTGTGTGGTGTGTGTGTGTGTGGTGTGTGTGTGTGGTGTGTGTGTGTGTGGTGTGTGTGTGTGTGTGGTGTGTGTGTGGTGTGTGTGTGTGGTGTGTGTGTGGTGTGTGTGTGTGTGGTGTGTGTGGTGTGTGTGTGGTGTGTATGTGTGTATTTGTGTGGTGTGTGTGTGTGTGTGGTGTGTGTATGTGTGTGGTGTGTGTGTGTGGTGTGTATGTGTGTTCCACAGTGCAAAGAGGGTGACCCACAGCACCCTCAGTGTTGAGTTCCCTGGGCACTTCTCACACTAAAGAGCCTGGCTGGAATCCCCCTTGGGCTGCATCTGTCTATGCTGGTTTTGGGGGGTCAAGAGCCCAGGAAAGGTGACACTGCCTAGGACCTATGTGTAGTGTGAGCGAGTGTGAAAGTGTGAAGAAGTGGGGGGCTTTTCGGATCTCTGCCTTAGAGGGCTAACTTAGGACACTTCTGAGCAACGCTGACGAAATGGTGGGGGGTGGGGAGGGGTGGGGTTGGGGTAGGGGGGTTTGCAAGGGGGATTCTGTGTCTCTCCACTAGCAGTGGCCGACTCTGAGATTCCTCAAGTCTCAGCTTCTGACTTTACAGGCCTCAGCTTCCCCAGGAAGTTATGTAGCATCCCTGTGTCCCCAGGACAGTGAGTCCAGAGCTCAGGACGGGCAGCACTGCTCAGGCCACAGTGACTCCTGCTCTGGTCCTCCACTCTCTAGGCATAGCGTGATGGTTAGAGGTCCATTCAGCTGGGACACCTGAGCCTGATTGTAATGAGGGAAAACTCATCCCATTACCACTCCCTGGGGCCACAGAGCCTGACACCTGCCTGTTTCTCCACTACTGCCATCAGCATTGGCCTGCTGTGCATCGCAGGCATCACCCATTACATCTCTGAACCTTAAGTTCTTGTGCAGTGACTAGACCTCCTCCCAGGATGATCCATAGTGTCTGTAGGAGATCACCGACATGCAAGTGACTTCCCGGGTGTTGGCTCCACAGACATTCCGCTTGACTTTCCCAGCACCTGCAAGGGAGGCACCACTGACTACCAGGTAGAAAACAGCTGGGGCCACACAGCTGCTGAGTGGCTTTCAGAACAGGGCTCCAGAGCTACAGACACCGGCTCTCTGCCAGGCAGAGGCTCCAGAACAGCGGGACTCCTCCATCCATGATTCCCAGTGGTTTCCATGGCAAAGGGGGTGTAGCCACTGTATGTGTACACTGTGGGGACAGAGCCAGACCACTGCAGTTCACAGGGGCTGGAAGCTGGATTCCTCTCCTGGACTTTGCCCCCTCTCAGAGGTCAGCTTCAAGGCTGGCAGGATAAAATAGATGGAGGCAGTTTGGGGAGGAGCATGTGGGAACACAGGCTCCTGAGCTGGTGAGGCAGCATAAGGAAATGTCTCTAAATGTGACTCTAAATGTGTCTCTAAATGTGGAGAGAACCCCTGGAGTGCTCTGGAGCTAGAGACATTTGTAAGCTGACCCAGGAAGCCCTCTGACATCTTTCTCTGTAGGAAGCCTAATGTGCTTGGGACCTCAGAAGAGGTGGGAGGACATATTTCCCAAGCCCATCACAGGAGGTCACAATGTGGGATCAAAGGTTCAGGGGCTCAGAGCTCGATTCCCAATCCACCCCTCTATGCCTCAGGATGGAGGCCTCCTTCAATGGGCCTCAGTTGTCCCTATCCAAAAATGGGTGAATAAGGTAGATGATAAGGGCTGGGCCGTGAAGAATCAGTGGGGCTCTAAGGCAACAGTGTGAGGGTCAGAGGAGACAGTTCCTAAGAGATGAAACAAAACCAGGGACTAACTTGGAAGATCAAGCCCAGGAGAGGGTGAGGGTCTCCTAGAGGACACAGCCAAGCAGTGATGAAGGCCAGGTTAAACTGGTGTTAGCCTTGCCCACTCCACTCCCAAGGTCCCTGCCCCAAGTACGGCCTAAGCTTGCTCTTTCATGCCCCAGAGGCTGGGTTGGTCCTCACAGGAGAGCCAGGAGACCTATGACAGGTGAAACCCAGTCCTGATACGGGACCTCAACTCAACCTCATCCCGAAGGCTGGCAGGGTGGAGTTCCTCAGAACTCCAAGGGCCACGGGAAGGCTTCTGAGTGAGCTTGCAGCAAGAGATAACAACTACAGCACAGACGCAACCATACCACACTGCAGAGGTAAGGGCATGCAGTCTTTATTGGGGACATGTGACAGGCACAGCAAAGACACTGAGGTCCCCATAGTGCAACTGGCATGAGTCATATATGAACCAAGGGGTCTCAAGAGCTACAGGGAGAGGCCAGAAAGGAAGATAGAAAGGGAGGGCCCCTGTCTAGGTATGGCTCCCTAGAGTCAGCAGCATCTAGAAGCGCTAGCCAGTGCTTCTGCAAGCATGTGACGGCACAGCCACCAGAGCCAGTGTCACAGCCTAGCTCCTGCCTCCAGAGTCCTGACACTGAGCTGGGGGCTGCCCTCCCGACAACTCACCCACTGAGACAGCTCCTACCTCCAGCTCTTGATGCACTGGTATCTCAGATGGAGGCAGCCTTGAGACAGAGTGTGTGTGTGTGTGTGTGGGGGGGTACTGCTGAGATGCCCCTGGCTATGTTAAGTAGCAGGTGAGGACTCTTCTCAAAGGGAGCTCTCGGCATGTGCAGGGTGAAGGAAAATGAGGCTTAGGGCGGCACCGAATCTGCCGATAGATAACCGTGCCACAGTTTCCCTGTCAATTTGGTGAGTGGGTTGTCCTGATAGCCTCCGAGCCAGTGTTAGGTGTCACATCTGGACACCTCCAAGCCTCTTTACACATCAGGTATCATAACTGCCCCCAAGCCTATCCAAGTGCTTCCACTCCAGTAGAACAGCCAGTAAATGCCCAGAGAGGTGACAGCAGGACATAATGCCCGTGTCCCTGACCAGCAAGGCCAGTTGTACTAACAGGGACATCTGTGTTTCTGTGGAGCCCTGGACCCCACTAACTCAGTTCTCTGCTTCACCATTTGAGCCTCAGTCTCCCAGTTCAGGAAGTCCTGCACCAAGGAGCACTCACCAAGCCCAGGACCCAGTGTCAGCTGCTCAACAATTAAACTAAAGTTAGCCTTATTCATGACAAGTATTAGCCGTTGGGCATAAATCCATACAAATATAGCATGCTATCTCTCAATCTCAACATATATGTTTTATGTGTAGGTAGCTAGAGCTGTGTCAGCTTCTACATGTTCTTTCCCTTCTCCACAGAAACCTGGGCCAGACCTGCAAAGCCAGCCACCCTCCGCCAGGCAGACCAAGCCCTGCTGTCATCCTGCCCAGTGTCTTGAAGGCCCTAAGGTCACAGCAGGCTGATGGTGACACTGGAAGAGACACCTGCCCACTGCCAGAGTGCCACTGGTATTCACCTCCTGACTCCGGCTTTGGCCAGCAGGCAGATGCCTTTTTGCCAGGCTCCCCTGAAGGCAGTTCCTGTCATGTCTCATTTTCCCATCCCTGAAGGAAATCAGCGGTTGCTTGTCTGGATCTCTTGGTTAGTCTCTTGGTCTCTCAATTCCTCTCTCTCTACCACAATGAAGCAGAGATGACAGATGCCCAAGATGTCTATCCATCTGCCCACACGGGCCCAAAAGGCCTCTATGTCTATAGTAGCAGTGTCCAGCTTCTAGGCTATGGAGCCATGGGACATCCCTGTGAGCTGCAGTACTTGCACAAGGGGAGGGGTCAGGTAGGGCTCAGAGGGCCTCTGGCCAAGTCAAGCACAGAAGGAGCAGCTAGAAGCATGTCCCCAAAATATACACGAGGAAGGAGGTTCAGGCAAGGGAGAGTTGTGAGCCTGAGGCAGGGCGGCCAGGGCTGTCATCAGAGTTGGTTAAACACCACAGAGGCCTTGAGGTTGGCAGGTTCCACACCCTCGCCAAAGGTGATAAGGAAATACATGACCTTGCGGATTTTGGCCAGGTCAGACAGGCGCTCCCCAAATTCCAGGGCATCAGCCTCATTCCAATCCATGGCGTCGGAGTCTTCCTTGCGCCAGAAGATGGCGGCAGGATCCAGCAGCTGGCGCGTCATGAGGTTGGTGAGGTCTGGCGTCCAGTTCTGCGAGGTGCCAGTGATGGTGACCTTGCCCGGCTTGTCTAGAACCACATCCCAGCGATCAAACTGCAGCTTCTGCTGCTGGATGAAGTCGAGACGGTAGACAGACTCAGCTGGTCGCAGCAGCTTCTCCCCATCCTGCCGCTTTTCCCCACGCTGCTTCAGGCTCTCCACTCGGAGCCGCATCTGCTTGGTCAGGTCCTGGTCTAGAACCAGCGGCATTGACAGCTGCTGCTTCTGAGGCCCGTCCTCTGCCATGGCCCAAGTGCTACAGCTGTTGCTGCCACCACCACTCCCACCAACGACAAGGAACCAAGTGGGCTGGGGCTTCGGATGCCGAGGGAAGAGGCCACCTGTAAGCCCGCCTCTCTTCCCAGCTACTGGTCCTTTCTGGCCCCGCCCAGTTCTCAGGACAGGGGACACATGAGCTTGTGTCCAACTGCCTCCTTTCCGTTCCTTGCAGAAGTAGTAATGCAGTGCTGTAGGCAGCTAGAGGGTGACAAGCTCCTTAGGGATCAAAGCACTGATGTCAACTGCTGTGGCAACCACCTTGACTACAGTTAGTAGTAGCAAACTGGAGGCTTGCTTGTGAGAGTGGGAGAGAGGTGAGGGAGATAGACACATGGAGGTAACTGAAGACTGTCCAGGGCAGCGCCATGAGGCAATCATCACTCGCTGTCTGTAATCAGCCAAGCCAACTTGGGGCGGTTGTTGCCTCCTCCTCCCCTCATTCTTTCAGCCAAATCCTGTCAGTTCTGCTTTCCAAATGCCCTGGGCATCTCCCTCTCCTTTAACATCACCAGGACCCAGCCCAGCTGTCACCTCCCATCTGAACCTGGAGCTCTCAAATCCCAAGTCACCTGCCAGGCAGATGGCTGGCTCTGCTCCTGGAAGCTGTGGTTTGATCGATCTTACTACACACTGTACCGCATAGCCACTTCCATCAAAATCCCACCAGCCATTCAGCCTACTCTGATCCTCCAACGCCCTTAGGAGATGGGAGGCCAGGGAAGAATCAGGAGACCCACATACTGTCAAGTGCCGGCGGGAGGCAGAGCCCAGCCAGTACATGTGGACAGATGGTAGAACTGGAATGTGAGGTCCATCTGGACAGTGGAGACACAGAGATGCAGCTGTCTCGGGATGTTACACACAGGAGAGAGGCATGGGGCAAGGTGCAGTAACCGAAAAGAACTGGAAGGTTTAGGAGACAGAAGCATATTGCATTGCTAGCTGGAGGTGAAATGAACAGTGAGACATGGTCTTACTTTACTGTGAAGCCATCCAGCCTGGCCTCAAGCTCCCAGCAATCCTCCTGCTTGAGCCTCCCAAGTGCTGGGATTACAGGTGTGAGGCATTGCAGCAAGCTGTTTTTACATGGGGCTGCTTGTTTTTGCAGTACTGGGAACTGAACCCAAGCCCTCTACCACTGAACTACATCCCCCTAGACCCGTTCTTTTTACTATAAGGCAGGATCCCGGCAGGAAGTCTAGACTGGTTTCAATCTCACAATCCTCTTGCCTCAGCCTCACCATTGGGGGATTTTAGGAAAAAGGATCCTGGATTCAGTTTCCCGAGCTGAGAAAAACAAACCAACCTCAAGTCCTGGGGTGAGTTCTTGGGGCCACTAACAGCAATTCCAGCAAACAGTATGGTAAGAGATAATCAACTTGCTTGTTTATTCACTGGCCTTCAGGACAATGTGGCTGAGAGCTGTTAGTGAAGGGCTTTGACTTCCTCTCCAAATAGGAACTCCTTCTGTGCTTACAGCACACGGCATTCTGACCTTAAAATTTTTCATTGCATTTGTGTGTGTGTGTGCACGTGTACATGTGTGTGTGTACGTGTGCACACGTGTGTGCACGTGCTTGAGTGTGTGTGTACACATGTACGTGTGTGTACGTGTGTGCACGTGCTTGAGTGTGTGTGTGCATGTGTACGTGTGTGCACGTGTACGTGTGTGTGCGTATGTGTGTGCACGTGTGTGTGTGTGTGTGTGTGTGTGTGTGTGTGTGTGTACATGCCATAGGGCTCATATGGAGGTTGGGGAACAACTTGAGGGAGTCACTTCTCTCCACCCACCATATGAGTTCCAGAACTGTCAGGCAGCAAGCACCTTTACCCACCAAACCACATGGCGAGCCCAATTTGTATTTGCATTTCCTTAAGTGTTTGAGAGAGTGTGTGTGCACGAGTGTGAATAAGTGAAAGTGAGAGTGTGTGGTGTGATAACTGATGTGTGTGAGTAGGGTACCGGGGATGGAACACTGCACAGGGCAGGCAGGTGCTTTCCCACTGAACTGGATCCCGGCCCTTGTTTCCTTTGTTTTGTATCTGCACTGAAACAGACTCCCTGGCAGGGAGGGTGTGTGTCTGTCCTGTTCATCACTATAAGTGAAAACATGACTTGCCATGCTCAAGAGATGTTCAGAAAGCCGAGTGAATGGCAGAAATACTGAATGTGAACGAGTGAATGAATGAACGAATGGATGATCAGGACAAAGGGTGATGGGGGCTCAGAGGCCTAGAAGGTGAGGTGGAGATGGGTCTGAAGCGCTCCAGGGAACAAGCTGTGGGTCCATTAACAAGTGGTTGAAGGTGAAGATGGATGGAGCTGAAGGCAAGAACTATGATCAGAGTAATAGGGGTCAAGGGCAGAGGGCAGGCATTAACCTCACAGACATAATTATGACCAGAAAGGTGGAGAAATTAGAGGTGCCAAACACGTTGTGCCAGGCAGCAAGCCAGCACAGCAGGCTGGCAAGGACAGTAACGCCAGAGACTGAGGCTGAGGAAGCTGGCATCTGTACAGACACAGGCAGGGGAAAGAAGCCGGGTTTCTGCATCCCGGGAGAAGGGGGGCAGCCTCGGCTCCTACTCCCTAAGGGGATCCAGGGCCACGGGACCTGGGGAGGGGGGCTGGCCCACTCCTGGGGAGAGGGGTACACCTTGCAGGAATGCTGTGAGGGCTGTAATGGGGACCCACAGGCAGGGCAGGTAGAAGGGCCAGCAGAGAGCTGTGTTACATGTTTGTGACCCGTGAGGGAAAAGGAGGAGGATGCAACCCAGCCAGCCACTGCACAGACCCAGCGAGGAGCCATCCAGAGCGGGATGGAGGAGGGAACTCAGGAGAGAAGGGTGCTCCAAAGTGGCATCGGTGGCTGCAGATGTGAAAACAAAGCATCACAGACAATCTCCACCGACAATCTCCTCAGCCCAGCGCAGAAAAGGAAGAACAAGGAGACCCCTGGCACCGCCGCCTCTGGGTGGTGAAAGTCACTCTGGCCTTTTATGCACTTCACATGTTCCAGTCCCTGGAACATCCTGGGTACACCGGACACGGTTAAGTCCTCCATTCACCACTTCTCAGACAGCCAGTTTGTACCTGTGGCATGATCTGGGCCAGAGTGGGTAACATTCGGTGTATTGTTGTTGTTTGTTGTTACTGAGACAGGGTTTAATGAATAGCCCAAGTGGGCCTTGAACTCAAGATCTCCCCGTTGCAGTCCTTGAAAACTGGGGAACATTTAAACTGGTCCCAGCACCCCCTGGCTCTCCCCAGCACTGCCCAGGACTGACACCCCCTGCCTCCTCCCTGTTCCCACACTTGCATGTTCTTGCTTTGTGCTATAGTCACGTCTGTCTTTACTTCCAGTCAGAACCCCAGCTGGCTACTCCTGGGCAGCTGGGAGCAGGCAGCAGGCCCAGCCCATGTTTGGCATTGCACTGGGCACTGGAGAGGACACCTCCAGAGAACCTTGGATCTGGCCTAAGCTGAGTCTGATGACAAGTACTTAACCTAATCATATCCTAACTGTGGGTCCAGGGGGCCTGATCACCTCAAATCCACTGTCTGCCTTGGGGAACAAACTACTGAGCTGGAAGAGGCCATACTGAGAGAGGGAGACCTGCAGAACAGATGATTAGGTGAGACGCACAAGGCAGGCACTTCCAAACGCCCAGCATTTGTCTATGGGGCCTGCAAAGTCAGGCCAAGCTCAGTGACTACTTTGAATCCCATGCCCATTAGCTCCAGACCACCTTGAGGTCTAGGAATAAAGGAGCAGCTTCCTTAGAGGAAGGGCAAGAGTATCCCAGGCACGATATGATATGTGAGACTCACTCAGCACTAGGAAAGCTCAGGTGGGTGGGTTCAGGGTGCAACTCACCCCTACTGCCCTTCCAGGGGAAAAAAACAGAGTAGGGCAGGGGAGGCCCTGCAGGGCAACAGGACAGAACAAGAGGGGTGACAACAAACAGAGGCCAGTCAGTGGGGACCGTGGGGGATGTAAGGCACAGTAATGAGCTCCCCAGGGCCTCCTTGCATGAGCCAGGGGACTGTCACCACAGCAGCACCCGGAGGTGGAATGCAATTAGTCTAGAGCACTTAACCCCAACCCAGCCTTCCCTGGGGTTAAACTCCTGAAGATCAGCCTGGCAGACCACCATGGTTGGAGTCTCATCCCTGCAGAAGGCTGAGGTTCCACACTATGAGAAGCAGACTTCCAAGCAGGCTACCTTCTCCATCAGCTAAACAGGGAGCAGGGCCTGGGAGACCAACACAGTGAGACAGCAGGGTGAGCATCTTCTCTGTCAGTGCATAACCAGACCTGGTTAGGTTTCAGTTCATCAAGAGACCCATGGGAAATGGACAGCAAGGTCAGCTTTGGAGCCACAAGGCTGTACTGGGTTCAAGGTCGGACAGCCCTCCTCTGTTCCCCAAGCTTTTGGATCCTCCTTCTGCTCATTGCACCAGGCTCAGCAGGAAGGGGCAGACCAGGCCAGCTCTGCCCCTGGGGAGTTCACCTCTAGAGGGGAGACTCAGATAAACAGGCAATTACACAGGGCAAGGTGGAGCAGCACACAGGACCCACATGGCCCTCCAAGCCCCGGCCAAGGTCCTGCAGTCCTTGCTCAGAGTTGGGGCTGGAGGCTGCAGCGCTGAGGACCAGTCCTCCACCCAGAGGACTGTTCTGGCCTGAATCCTCTCTGGTCCTTGATGCCCACAACAGACACATCCTAAGTCACCCTCCAGTCTGAGGCTGTCCAGCATAGACTCCCCAACCCTGTAAGCCATAGCAGTGGGCTCTATCTTGGTACCAAGGCCCACAACACGCAGCTGCTGTGACCCTGACAGAGACACCTACTGGGTGGCTGTCCAGGAGACAGGAGAGGAGGTCCAAAGGTGTTGTATGGCTTTGGCTAAGGACACAGCTCCCTCTGATGGCTAATGGATGTCTGGGGAAGCAAGGAAAAACCTCCCTATTCCTTGTGCCCTGTTTGATGGAAACATGTCTGTCTGTGTGTGTGTGTGTGTGTGTGTGTGTGTAAGACTTGTTCGTTTATTATGTATACAATAATCTGCTTATATGTGCCCCTGCAGGCCAGAAGAGAGCACCAGGTTTCATTCTAGATGGCCTTGAGCTACCATGTGGTTGCTGGAATTGAACTCAGGACCTCTGGAAGAGCAGCCATTGCTCTTAACCTCCAAGCTATCTCTCCAGCCTGAAATATGTCTTTTAAATTGTTTAAACCTACTTATTTATTTACCAGGGGGCACAAATGGAGGTCAGAGGACAACTTGTGGAAGTCCATTCTTTTCTCCCACCATGTAGGTCCTGGGGATGAAATTAGACTAGGAGGCAAGGGCCGGGACCTGTTGAGCCATCTCCCTTGCCTGGATTACTCTTATGTTGTAGGAATAATAACTGTTCTAAAACAGGTTGTGTGGCCATCACTGAGAGCCATATGGCCAGTAGTCCTATAAGAGCAGAGCTTCTTCTTCCTCCTCCTCTTCTTCCTTCTCTTTCTCCTTCTCCTCCTTCTTCACAGCTTTCAGGCAGGGCCTCATACATCCCAACTAGTCTTGAACTCACTATGTAACTGAAAATGGCCTTCCCTCCCCAGGAAGGTAGTTCTAAGTACTATATTTAAGGTCTTCTGTTGAGTGTTGTCAAGAAGGTCCAAGTGGCAGGCCCAGGACCCATTCCATCATTCTCCAAACCTTTGCCCTTGTCCCAGAATATCAAGAGCATGGAACCAGAAACCATGAAACACAGAGCTATCTAGACCACATCCTGCTGAACAACTGGGAAAATTGAGGCCCAAAACTAGTCAGCCCATGCCACACAGCAGTTACTAAATGCTGAGTGGCATCCCTACACAGAGGATAACATAGGCAGGGTGCACATTTCACAGGGGTACTCTCTGCTCCTCGGACACTTGTCCCTCGGTAGCTGTGGAGGGGTCATATCAGAATCACCTTGGGAATTACCCTGAGGATTCCAGGCTAAACAGGTGAGGGAAGGCCAACCTGCTAACAGATACCCAGCCCATCCATCCCAGCAACAGGCTTTCAGAAGCCACACATGTCCGGAAGTGAGAGCCGTGGGCTGTTTGACTAGCTCCTGCAGCTGCCGTCCTCAGACCTTACCTTTTGCCAGAGTGCTTCTCGAGAGGCGAGTGATGAGCAGGCAGCCACAAACCAGCAGTTGCCCACCTGGCCCTGGTGCAGGTCGTGGGAGCTGATGCCATCTACAAAGAGGCGGGGATCATCACAGATATCCTGCAGAGAGGGAGAGGAGAGCATGAAGACCTGCCTGGACTGTGTCTCCCCCCCTTGGCCAGAGAGCCTTTCCATTATGGTGAGCTGAGGGATGATGGCTGAAGAAAGATCTCAGAGTGTTTGACCCTTGGTCACCAACTTCTTCTTGCCTTGAGTGGATCTCCCTGTCCAGCCAGCCCTCAAGGCCAGCCACAATGCAGCCAAGTGACAACCCCCAAAAGAACTCATGATCAGCACAAAAGGAGGACGTTCAGGCAGAGACAAGAGACAGGGTTGCTACTGCCTTCTAAGGATGAGGAATGGAAGCTTGGAGAAAGGCAGGACTTGTCATAAGACAGGACACACGAATGCCCAAGTGAGGCAGCTATCCTGTTGATTTTCCACGGAAATTGGTAGGCATGGCCACAGGGGTACAGGGCATGCCAGGAACCAGGCAGGGACAGCTGTCGAGCAGTCATGTTAGGAACCAGGTCAGGCAGCTGCTGGCCAGTTATGTCTGACGGTACTTGGGCCTGACCCCTCCTAGTTCCTGGAAGCTTGGTCTAGTTTTCCAACCTCTTCACTCTTCACAGTTGCCCTTGAAGATCCCAAGGCAGTGCTATGGAGCAGGAAAAGTATAGCTTTGGCTTTGGTACCAAGAGACACACTCTGAAAGCATAGCTCCCTGCCTCCCACAGACCTGACACCCTGCCCAGGCAGTGTCTCTGAGGGAGCACAGTGCCATAGGCCCAGTCCAGGAAAGCAGCTAGGCACACAATCACAGCCTCCTTGGAGCCTAACATATCCATGTAGGCCAGGTTGCTGCAGGACTAGGTGTGCAGGACTAGGGGTCCTTCCTTGCCCAGATTAAGTCTTCTCAGAGCTGTGAGTGTGTTGCTTGCAGCAGGCCCGCCCACACCTCCTCTCTGTCAGTGCCTCGCTCCATAGAGCTGAGAGAAACTGAGCTGAGGGGGTAAGGGGCAGGGAGGGCAGGCACAGCACCAAGACACAGCCTTATAACCAGGATATAATGCTGGCACCATGACCCAATCCCAAGTGGTCCTGAGAACTAAGCACTGTGCCCATTTCGCAGATGAGAGGTTTAGCATGATGCCTATGATATAGCTGTTTCCTTGGCTTGACAGATCATCTCCATCTTGAAGCCAAGCAGCTGTGATGATCCCATGAGCTAGTTCAGGCCTATTAGCATTCCTATGTCAGGCGGGCAGGGGAGAGGCTCATAGACTCTAAGTGGTCATCACATGGTCCTCATGAGTCTCCCCACCCCCAGCCCTAAGGCAACAGTTGACTGGGGATGGGATGTCTTGGGGTTGTAGCTGCCTATGAACTGCCCTGCCCCTATAACTCCATTAAACTCACTGGTTCACCAAGTTTGGCTTGGACTAAATACTCTCTTTAATCTGACCATGACCTGTCTATCTGGAGTGAATAGAAGTTTCTTCACATTTCCCAGAGAAAGCCACACAACCAGTGGTACCTACAGAGAACAGACAGAGCCAAATAGGAGTAGGGGTGGAGCATCCCTGGGAAAATTCTGGGAGTGACACGTCTCCTAATAGAGGGACAGTTGCATGGGCCCTTAGCTATAACAACCAGGGCTGAGCTCTCTGTGTCCAGGGAAAATCAGGCTGAGGCATACCCAGAGGGGAAATCCCAGAGTAACCAACCTCTGTGTGATAAAAAATTATTTAATTTTTAAATTAATATTTAATTTTTTGATCTTTTTGTTTTTCTAGAGAGGGTTCCTCTGTGTAGCTCTGGCTATCCTGGAGATTGTTCTGTAGACCAGGCTAGGCTCAAACTCGACCCTCCTGCCTCTGCCTACTGAGTTGATCTTGAAGGCCTGTGCCACCATCGCCCAGCTATTTGGGGGAGGGGTTGACACAGGGTTTCTCTCCATGTAGCCCTGCTGTCTTGGAACTCACTTTTAGATCCAGGCTGACCTCGAACTCACAGAGATCCACCTGCCTCTACCTCCCGAGTGCTGGGACTAAAGGTATGGGCCACCACCACCCGGCTAATTTTTATTCTTAATTCTATTTTAAAATCTGATTTTTAAAATTAAGCATTAAAGTTTTTAAATTAAATAATATTAAATTAATTAACTTAATGCCATTCCTTTGCATGGCCGTGTGTTGTGGTAAGGGATGCTATGCCTTCTTATTGTATGGGACACACATGATGGACCGGTTAGATGCTATATTGCAGTCTCTGAAAGTAGCACATATGGGAAGGGAGTGTAAGAAAGCTGTGGTGACAGCCACAGGGTCCCGAGTAAGAGTGACAGGACAAGCAACCAAGCCGAGTTGTTGCCCAGAGGAAACTGGCCTGCCTTCAGGGTAAAGCAAAGACAAATCCATGTTTGGGAGCCCTGGAAGGCTTCAAATCCGAACAGTTGTTCACGGAAGGGGTGAAGGATGGGAGGTACAGGTGGTCCCTGCTGCACCCACTGCTGGAGGGCAAGGGGGTTGCTTGGCATGGGAATCCCCTGCAGACAAGGGCTAGGCAGAGGGATCAGAGAGACCCCCCACAGTGAACGGTGGATCTCTCGCTCTCCTGCTGATATGCAGAATACTTGAGCTTCCGTGGAGCCGTATACCTTGATTCAAGGCAACCTCTGAAAACACGGGGGTGGGGGTAATGGATGAATCAGGAAGTGGAACCATGTAGGTGAAAAATATTGAGACTAAACTTGTCATGAGTGGATTATAATTAACTCCGGCTCCAGATTCAACTCACACATTTCTCCCTTGCAAGGAGGTGGGTGTGGGTGTGTCCCAGTGGTACACTGAGGGTGTGCCTTGTAACAGCAGTCTCGTGCGGCTGGGAACAAGGGAAGACTACAGAGTGGAGAGATCATTCTACAGTCTACAGCTGTTTCAGCAGCCAGGTATTGCAGGTAAAAACAAAAGAAAACAAGGCAGATAAAGTACCCACTCCAACATCTTTCTTTTAAAAATAACTAGTTAACTATCTTTCCTATATGTGCGTGTGTGGTACACATGTGTGATGGAGCACATATGTGCACTGGCATGTTTGGAGGTCAGAAGTAACTTCCACAGAGTTCATTTTCTCCTTCTACTTTTATACAGGCCCCTGGGATCAAACTCAGGCCCAGGTTTAAGTAACAGCTGCTTTATCAGCTGAGCCGCCCGCCTCCCTGGCCCCACCCTTCCCTTTGAAGGTACCATTATACATGTGGTGGCTCTTCTTCACATTGTATGGTTCAGAAGGTTTCTGTTTGCTTTGCTCAGCCAGCATTCCCTTGGCTGAGGTGCCCCAGACCAATCTGCATTTACTTGGAATGGATGCACTAGACCTTCAAGGAGACCTGCCAACCTCTGTAAAAAGATCTCCGTATATTACACTTGCCTCTAAGGGACTCACAGATTTAGAGACATCTGAAAGTTGTGCACGTGTGTGGTGATATTTTGTTTATGATCTAACAAATACTCTGAAGAGAAGAGTGCAAAGCTAGCCACACTAGTCAGCCATAGAAGCTGGGCAGTGGTATCCTCCTTTAATTGCAGCAGCCACGCAGATTAACCACAGAAGCTGGGCGGTGGTGGTGCACTAGAGAGGATTATAAGGCCAGTGGAGACAGGAGTGCAGGGGATTCAGTCTGCAGTCACACTGAGGACAGGATCATCCCTTTTGGTCTGAGCCTTGGTAGAGGTACGAACTCTCTAGTGGCTTGGCTGCTTTGCTTCTCTGGTCTTTCAGCCCGCCCAGGGTGCAAGGACCAGGCACAGCTGTGAAGCTTTGGGACCCCCTCTCCTCCTATCCCGAGATCCTCATCACTACTATAAAACAATTAACTGGGATGGGACTTCTTGGTGGCATAGTCACCTGTAGGTAGCCCCATAAACTCATCCTCTTGCTTCCTTGGCAGCTACATGGCATCTCCCTGACTCCACCTCCTACCTCTCTCTATCCCTGTTTGGATTTCCGGCCTGGCTAAATCCTGCCTACCCATTGGCTGGAACAGCTTTATTCAACAACAAAATGGCAGAGCTGTTTTGTCAGTGCCCTCTGCCTGTTTTGGAGTCACCAGGTCTGCAGCAACACAGCAGCCGAGGCCCTTTCACAAGCTGCCAGCAGAGGGCAGGAGAGCCTGGGAGCAGAACTCAATTCCTCCATGCCACTTGCTAGCGATGCAAACCTAGGCCAATGTCATCCTCTCTATTCCTCCCTGTCCTCGAATGCTGGCCCTACAGCCATATGTGTGGTCTCCACAGATGGTGGCAGTGGAGCATTCTGCAGGGGGAGGTGGGATAAAGGGATTTCAGTACTGTGTCTGGGACTAATTTGCCCACAAAACAAAACAAAACAAAACCAACCCAAAACAAAACACAAACAAACAAACGAAAAACCAAAACAAAACAAAATAAAAAACCATAATTATCAGGCCAGGAAAAGAAAGAGTGACTCCCCCAAGGGCACCAACTGAGTTGGAGACCTGATTACTTCTGGCTGGGGCTATGGGGGAGCAGTGGCTTCTCCAAGGCACAGGTCTGTGTCCTGCCATCTGGATCAGCGGAAACCCAGTCAGGAGGCCTGCTTCTTGTCCCCGAGTCCACTCTCAGGAAGCTCTGGCCGGAAGCTGAGCTCTGACAGCCCTGTTTCCTCCTAATCTTATCTTCCAGACAACCCAGCTTCCCAGTCAGAGCAAGTGGTGTCTCCCAAATGAGTCCACACTGAGAGAGCCACCACCTGCTGTCACTAGGGCTGCAGAGAGATGACAGCAAGGTGCTTACCTATTTCCGTTTCTCTCATCGGTGCCCTGTGACAGACAGGACACCCATTCCAGATGAGGCAGAGATGTCCAAGGTCAAGAAAAACTGAGTGAACAGACAGGGCAGAAAAGACTGGCTGGGCTCCCTGCATGGGCTCTCCCTGCCACTATACCAGTATCAGCCTGGCTCTGGCCCCAGAACACCCATCCTCCTTCCATGCCCACCCCAGCCCTGGAAAAGAAGACTTGGAGAAATGAAGTTCCA